CCAGCAATGTGGCCGTGAGCAATGGTTTCTGCCGCACTTCGCAGTAGTCCGCGAAGACAAGGCTACAACTAAGGTCCGTGTTGTGTTTGATGCTGCAGCTCGCTTCAACGGCACGTCCATCAATGAACACATGTACGCTGGGCCGCGACTGCAGAATGACCTCGTCACAGTACTGATCCGGTTTTGCATGCACCCCGTGGCACTGATTGCTGATGTGTCGGAGATGTTCCTTCAGGTATCACTACAGCCTGAGGATCGCAGATATCACCGATTTCTTTGGAAGACCGGGGATGGAGTCAAGGCCTACGAGTTCACCAGGTTGGCGTTTGGCATCCGTGCATCGCCATACCTAGCAGGCAGAGCTTTGCTGGAGACGGCCGAGCGTTTCGGAGCGAACTACGACCCAGCAGTCAGTGACACAGTTCGCAAGGCATTCTACGTCGACGACATGTTGAAGTCCTTGCCTGACGACCAGAAAGCAATGCGTCTTCGGTCTCAGCTGCAAGACCTCCTGAAGAAAGGCGGCTTCCATCTCCGGAAGTGGTTGAGCAACAGTGAAGCAGTGATGGAATCAATTCCACCGGAGCACCGCGCGCCGGCCACGTCTAAGTCCATAACGGCACAAGAGTCGTCTGGACAGCCCTCACAAAAGGCACTGGGCGTAACGTGGATGGTCAGCGAAGATTATTTCACGTTTCACTATCAGGAACCCACATCCGCTGCGTGCACGAAGCGCACCGTCCTCAGTCGCATGGCATCACTGTTTGACCCCAGAGGGCAACTAGCACCATTCACCATCAGGAGCAAGTTGTTGTTCCAGGAACTATGTCTTGCGGGGCTCGGCTGGGACGACCCACTGCCTGAAGAGACGGCGGTAGCTTGGCAAGAATGGTTTGCTGAGATGCCTAAGCTAACACAGCTACGCATTGATCGCTGTTTTCAAGATAGCACAACGTCGATGGGTCTGAGTGTGCACACGTTCACCGACGCATCAGAACGGGCCTACGCCGCTGCGTCATACGTCCGAGCAGAGCGACCAGATGGTACAGCGAAGGTTACCCTGGTGATGGCCAAGGCAAGACCAGCACCGATCAAGCGTCGATCCATTCCGATGCTAGAGCTGCAGGGAGCGGTCCTGGGTGTGCGTCTTGGGATGTACGTTAGCGAAGCTCTTGGTGTGAGAGCAGCCGACAGCCACTACTGGAGCGATTCCATGAATGTCCAGTATTGGATTCGATCACCCAGCCGAAAGTTCAAGCTGGAAGTCGGCAACCGGATATCGGAGATCCAACAGCAGTCTATGGCACGGAACTGGCGTCATGTTCCCGGAGTCAGAAATCCAGCTGATCTCCCCACCCGTGGGATGACAGTCACACAGCTGGCAGAGGAGAGCAGGTGGTGGCATGGACCAACGTTTCTGGCACAGCAACAGAGCGAATGGCCAGATCGCAGGATAGCTGTGCCGAAGGAGCTACCACAAATGCTCAAGACTCCTGAAATCACGATGACGGCAATGATGTCACCACCGTTGCGGCTAAGTCCAAACAACTATTCCTCGTGGAGCCGTCTTGTGCGGGTCACGGCTTGGTGCATGCGTGCCATACACAATCGCCGCAAGAGCCGACTGCCACAGCTAACGCTCAGCGACGCCCGTGTGAAGATTGCAATCAAGAACAGCAAGGAGGTTGCCGTGCCCGAGCTCTCACCAGCTGAGTTTGAAAGAGCGGAGCACTATTGGATCATGCGTGCGCAAGATGAGAGCTATGGTGAAGTGACGAGCACGCTGAGAAAAGGGAAGGAGTTGCCAAGCAGTGCCCCTCTTCTCAAGTTGCAACCGCGCATCGACGAACAGAGTGGATACCCCGTATTAAGAGTTAGTGGGAGACTGCGTACGGCTTACCACTTGGCATCTGAGTTTCGATCGCCAATTATTCTACCACCTCGACACCGAGTGACAGAGCTGATCATTCGGAGAGAGGATGAGCGATGCCGACACAGCATTGGCACGAATCACATCCTGTCCAATCTCGCCGATCACTACTGGCTTGTGAAAGGCAAGCAAATGGTGAAGTCACATCGGCACCACTGCGTGGGATGTCAGAAGGTGTGGCGCAAACCAGCCACTCCCAGGATGGGTCCTCTCCCAGATCTCCGCACGCAAGGACCACTTCTGGCATTCGCCCGCACCGCTGTGGACTTCGCCGGACCATTTCTAGTGAAGAGAGGTCGAGGACGTACACAAGAGAAGAGGTATGTGGCAGTGTTCACGTGTCTGCAATCTCGAGCGTGTCACTTGGAGCTGGTTACCTCTCTCGACACGACTGGCTTCAAGATGGCCCTGACGCGATTCTGCAAGCGTCGCGGCACACCCGAGATGTTGCTTACTGATAATGGAAGCAATTTTGTTGCGACAGAGCGAGAGCTGAGGGAGGCAGTCGCCCAGCTTGACCATGCCGACCTCACATCGGAGTATGCAGGCCAAGGGATTGAGTGGAAATTCAATCCGCCTCGTTCTCCTCATTTCGGCGGCGTGTTCGAACGGATCGTGCGCTCCATGAAGCAAGTTCTCCAGACTGTGCTGTACAAGGCTGATTTAACTGAAGAAGAGCTCCAGACAGTATTGGTGCAGGCCGAGGCTCTCATCAACTCGCGGCCATTGACAACGCTTTCGGAGGAAAGTGAAGACCTGGAGCCGCTAACGCCTTTGCATTTCTTGGTTGGCCATTCGAGAGTTGCAACAGCGTTGGAAGCAACCCCGGAGGGGGGTCTGCATCGTCGCTGGCAGTTGCTTCAGGATCTGATGAAGCGCATTTGGAAGAGGTGGCTCCGCGAGATTGTTGCTCGAGCCAATTTGGAGACGAAGTGGCACCGTGATAGTGCATCGGTTACAGTCGGCAAAATCCTGATGATGCTGGACGAATCGCTCCCAAGGACTCAGTGGCCGCTTGGTCGAGTGGTCGCTACGTATCCTGGAAAGGACGGGAAGGTGCGCGTAGTGGACGTGAAGGTCAAAGGGAAGGTGTACAAGCGCAGCGTCCACCGCTTGGTGCCCCTAGATGTGGAACCGTCAGCAGTCAAGGTGACTCTCCCAGCCTCTGCCGAAGTCCGGCTAAGTGATCTCAATGAGTGACATTAACTGGCATGCTCGCCGTTGTTAATGCCGTGTATCAAGTTACGGTTTTGCCCAATAGCGTATAGGCAGTAGATTCGCTCAGTTTTCCCACGTTCGCTCATGAGGGAGGGAATGTTACGTTTTCTTACTCTTAGTACTCCCTTGTGCCATTGTTCCAGCAGATGCTGCAGGTGTCGCTGACCTGCACAGTTTGTACGAGTACTTGTAGATTTATGCAGTGCGTGTCTACAGCTGTATTTGAATGTGTGCATAGTGCACAGTTTGTAGTTGTCCCCTAGGCCCTGTGCCTGTGATACGTGATTTGTAGTGCGTGTTAGCTTACACGTGGGAATGCTACGCACTTTCATGTGACCTGTTTTACTTCCTTCTCACTGTACTTCCTTTTATGCATGTATCGCTGGCATATGCGACACGGGCCGGCCGGGCCGGAGTGTGTATTGGTTTTGGAAGCATGTGCCTTTTGTCCTGTGAGTTGTTCGCATGCACATGTTGCTGGCCGCGTGGTAATGTTTTGGTTCTTGTTGTGTTGGACCTGAGTTCTACAAGGACAAGTAGTTTGTAGCTGTTGTGATTTTCCTATGTTCCATGGGTCTGAATAATTGTGTTCTCCGGAGTGGAGTAAAACTGAACTGTGATTCGATTGTGTGCGGAAACCCGGTGTTGACGAAAGTGTGTTGACCTGGGCGCTGAGGAAAAGTAACACCCGTTACTTCCACTTCTGTCAAGTGCATGCCTGCAATCCATTGCCAGGTGATGACTTTTTACTGTGTGTTATTTTGCTGCCGAGTTGTTCAGAACTTTTTAGCCCAGATCTGTCCATATCTACACTTGTCGGCCATCCGCAAACTTCATGTGGAAGTTGGCGTTACCTACCCGCCGGGCCCAATGACTCTCCTCGCAAGGCTCCTGTCGGGCATCGATAGGTCATCATCGACACAGCGTCATTGCCTGCTGATAACCACTCAACTTCTCAGGGAGATTAGCCGGCATATTGCCTTTCCACGTTTGTGGCACCCTCATAACAAGGCCATGCTAAGGGCAAACTGACTGCTTGATTTACATTACCGCAGTCAGTCCAGCACAATACAATGTACACCAATCGTATTTCACGATTACTCGCGTGTCATAATTGGGGATATGGGCTGCTCCAGCTGCTCCGCCCAATATCCCTGATATGCCAACTAGACGAAAAGTGTGTTCTGAGCCTATATCGCGGATAACAGACTCATAGTAAAGCAAATAATAAAAGTTTTAAAAATCAGGATTCACGTGACACTCGGCTTAAAGCCGAGTTTTCCACATCCGCAGGAACGCTACCCCCCTCTAGAATCATAGTATAGCGGACTCTGCAATGAACAGATTATGAAACTCCCTGCAGATTTAGTTATCTCTGGTGACTGGTCTGGGGCACCGTGGAAGCTGTGACTGGTTGCCAAGTTTAGTTTTGTGACTGCTTCCAAGCATAACTGCTCACAGAGCCCTGATTGATCACAGAGTCATACTGTTGCGAATATTAAAATCAAGTGCGAAGTCCAGCAGCCACGGGGCGCTGGCCTTGCAGCTGTGAGTATGCATACGGTACAAATTCACATGACTTTATTGCATGCTGCACACTGCTGGTCCATTGTTGTAGTGTGTGCTGCAGTACCTATTCCGTGATGGAACACCTACTCTTGAAAGACTGAATGTTTCAGCTATTAGGCTTTTACTTCATCACTCTCATGCTGCTCATATACTCGTACATACGCCAGAAGACCCTAAGTTAGTTCTAAGATATTATGGACCATGCGACCATGTGGTACTTTCACTCTACAGCCAAGTCAACCCACTTCGTCAACACACAGGGTTTTCCTCAGACACAAGCGAATGGTTTACTCCACTCTGGAGAAGAACACAGTTTGCTCTCTCAAACACCAACAGCAGATAACTACGGAACATATGAAGTGTAACAACTGCTAGAATATTGAACTGTCGTCCACACAAAACAAATAAAGACAACTGAAAACCAAAACACATGCAACTGCCAACATGCATGTAACAGCGACTGCAAGCCAGAACTACAGACTCCACGCAGGGAGGAACAGGGGAAACAGAGGTAACGCTTCCGACTTCGAGAGCTTCAAATAGCAGCGGACAAAACAATACCCATGCGTGTCGCCTTGCGCTACCGCAAACGGACACCTGTGGATGCATAGTACAGCACAGACTCAGTGCATGTACGGCGTAATAAATGGAGTACATGTAAACCGACAACGGTCACCTTGCACCCTATGCAGTAAGTTACAGAGGCGGTGCCAACAAAAGAGTAGGGTACGTGTATAGTGCACACTCCAATGGCACAGCAGAAAATGTTCTCACCACTAGCCATTGCTAGTTGTTTGTCATCTTGACTTTTGTGATAGTCTTCTGTGGTATTATGACTGGTTGATGAGGCAGATAGTGCACTCTGGCACCCACAGGTGTAGAAGGGCTCACTTGTTCGGCGGATGCCTTACCGTAGCTGCTGCTGGATCACGTTGTCGCATTTGACCTTGAGTTCCGGCTCGACTTCTAGGCGCTTGGATAGAGACTGGAAACGATCGAGTTGAGTGACAGTTGAGATGAATTGCCTAATGGCTAGGTCGTTGTTAGTAAGATTGGCTGAATCCTGGATGCCAATGCAGTCTAAGTCCCACAGATCTTGGATGGTGCAGGAGTCGGAAGTCGCATCAGGTAGAGAAACGATAGCTGGCATGGCTGCTCATCGGCGTAGCTGAGTGCTTGGAGTGACATGTTCGGCCAGTCGCCACAAAACCGACTGTGGTAGGCAGAAACTGTACGGTCCTGATGGAAGTCCTCTGGTGCTCCCCGTCATAAACTCCCAGAGGAAATCTGCACCGATCAAGACAACTGACTATCTTACGGTCGATGGCGATACTGGTTGATGCTGCACTAGCTGCTGTTGTGCTAGATGCTGGTACCTCGTCAGCCACAGGCTGATCAGCTACTATGTTGGTACTGCTGTCAGATTTCTGTTGAGATTCAGGGCAGATCGTGACATGATGGTGACCCATGCGAGAACACACATTACACTTGCGGGTGGCCTTGCACTGAGTTGACCAGTGCCTTGTGCGCAAACACGCAAAGCAACGCTTCTGTTCAATCAGTTATTCTTTCCGCTGTGCTACTGTTGTGTATTTCGTGCAGCTCTTGTCCAGGTGAGATCCACCGCAGAATGCACATCCTCTCATACTGCTGGCATTCCAGTTACCATCAGACCGCCTCCTTCTTGTGAACTTGCATGCGCCTGTCACCAGTGCACCTGCAGAATAGTGAGTGACATCTTCTGCTGTAGTACCGCCTGTGTTTGTGCGGCGCAGAAAGGCGTCTTGCATGATAACATAACGTTTCAGTGCCGTTCTGAAGTCGTTCGGTTTCCATTGTATCCCAGCATCTGAAAAGCCTCGCGATTCTTCGTCGTCAGGTTGCGATTCGTCCAGTTGAATCCGCGTTCGTCATAATCCGTAATCTGGTCACAGCGTCAGGTGACGATCTGGTGACATCGGACGGATATAATACACAAGACACAATTGTGATATTTCTACGTTGTGTTTACTTCAGATACATAATCTAAATATACGGGGGTTTGTCAACTGACAACCACTCTACTTAGCTGCTATTCACTCTTTAGATGAAAATTCTTTTATTAATAAATTATGCGGTTGTCAGTTGACAACCCCCCTTTTATTTACAGTGCAGTTGCGTGATGTCCACCACTTTCTGTACATAATCTAAGAGTCCTAAAACAGCCACTGACTTCCAACTACCAAGGGAAAGCAAGCCCTAGCGCAGGAGAACCGTGCGCGCGCGGGGGTACGTGACATATAATATCGTAGTAGAGCTGGCAGACAGGGCATGATCACGGGGGTTCAGGCCCTGCCTGTAAGCGCGCTGATTGGCTCAAACCCTGGCAACAATCACGTGGCACGTCTGAAATTACAAGTAGTTGCGATTTATGCTAAAGTTCAAACTGACGGAACGCATGCAGCGCTACACCGTGAACCATGTGGAAACAAAAAGAAGTAGAGGAGACACGGGATAGCAGACATGAACTCAGGGTCAAACTGATAAGTGTGTAACGTGAATGCATGCAGTATACGGAGACAAAACAAAGTCGCAGAACTCAGTACGTAACAAGACAGTACTACACACTAAACTCGAACATGTGAATGTCACGACACCATATGAATTAGCTCTTACACGCCACTTATGTAACAGTCAGTAAGAGTACACATGCGTACTTACGTTGACTCCATTTTATCTGACTTGTCCAACACCATTGTTGTGAGCCTTCGACACTTGGGAATACACAGGACAGATAAGATAGCGGCGAGAGCATCTCCTCGCTCTGTGAACACAGCTCAGACGCCATGCTTCATGATTGTGTGTCCATGGAATACAAGGACACAATAGACTTAGTGCAGCTAACGAAATGGATGAACGGACGACGGCCTGAGTGTTCTCCTTCCTCGATGAACACTGGCAGCCACCATATACCATGCTTGACGTTTCAAGCACCATCGACGCAGGCCACGTTTTTCGGCACCGACGATTGGTTCGTCCACCAACAGTCGAAACAAATGTTTCTCACTTGAATATTCCGTAGAGCTGCCGCTGTTGTGCCAAGGCCCATTGGCGCATGGTGTGTATACTCCAAATCTACATGTATGATGATTGGTCACTGCTGACGTTTGTGCTCTTGGACAGTGTACCGCTGCTTGAAGAGAAGTTGTGGCTCCACAATCACTGAGAACGCTAGTGTGCGTCCATGGATTACTAAAACACAATAGGCGCGGCGCTGCTAAAGCCCACTTGGATGAATCGGACGACAGTGGTGGCGACTGCATTCTCCGTCCTCATCATCGGTGCAGGCCGCGTTTTTCGGAACCAGCGATTTGTTCGTCCACCCACAATGGAAATTAATGTTTCTCACTTGAACACTCTGTAGAGCTGTCGCTGTCGTGACAAGGCCGTGTATACTCCAAATCTACATGTAGGATGAAGAGTAACAGTTAATACTGCTGATAATGAAGTTTGCGCTCGTGGACAATACACCGCTGTGTGAAGTAAATTGTGGCTCCACAATCGCTCAGAATGCTAATGTGTGTCCATGGAGTACCAAAACACAATAGGCGCGGTGCAGCTAACGCCCAACGTGGATGAAACGGACAACAGCAGCGGCTAGAGCGTTCTCCTTCCTCGGTGAACACTGCTACAAGACACTATGCTTTATGATTCACCAAACACCATCGTTGGGGGCCAATTCAGTAGTTTTCCGGCACCAGCGAGTTGTTCGTCCAGCACCTAACTTTGAGTCTTTCTTCAACACTTCGTAGAGCAGCCGCGCAAGGCCTTTCCTTCACGTTAGGGTAGCGATCCTTCCTAGATGCTATCGCCATTCATTGTTACGTTTTACTACAATGACACTCCAGTAGTGTTTCTCCGAAAATAAAGTCAGCTGCCATTACTAACAGTGTAGACCCAGGTGCTCGAAGTCCGTACACTTTTACAGTGTGTGTTTGCCGAGCTGAAACTCACACTAGCAATGATCACTTGCCAGAATCCTGCTCGTGGATGGAAGGTATCTTGTCCAAGTTTGTTCTGAGGCCAGGCTCGATTGAACCAGGCCATCTTTCGATCCAATCTGTTTCTCTGAAGTTCGCTGATTTTTCATATCAAATTTTGGTGTCGCAGAGGGTACTCTAAGTCCGTACTGATCAGAGGTGACTCGAAATACACACATATTTCTGCTAATTGCTAACTTGCAATCCCTCGGTTACGACGAAAGCACCGAAGGGATATGTTTGGCATGTGCTTCCACCAGTATTTCTTGCAAAAGCGTAGTTTGTTGCCGAAATGCAAGCTGTTTTTAGTCGGCTCAGAGAAGAAGCAGCTGCGCTGTGAAACCCGCGGGAAAACAGTGGTGGAGATGCCAGGAGTGTCAACCTTTCTGCAAGGATTGGTGGTTCTCTGTAAATTCTTCTCCTCTGGCCATTGTCAGCTCTAAGCTGGCTCTTGATGATTGAGTGAAGGTCTGTTTGACCCTGTGTCCGTTCGAAATCGGTCTTGGCAAAGTTGATTTTTGCATGAAATGTAACCCAATTTGTATTTCGTATGGACACTCGAAAACCCACTCGCGTGGTATGGGACTTCTGCTTATCGTAGATCCCTGAAAATTGCTACGCGAGGAGAACATACCACACTGTCCCCTCCATAAAATATTTGAGTCGAATACAATAACAGAACATGAAATTATGGGCGTACGAACTTAGGATACCATGTACGGACTTCGAGCACCTGGGTCTACTGAGTAAAGAGTCAGTACTCTCACAGTCACCATGGTCACAACACTCAGTAGCAGCTAGCTCGGGCTGCTGCATGCAGTGCATGCTGGGCCTAGCGCCTGGACTTGAAAAAATTATTATTTTGCAAGCCTTCAATCATGTTTGCTTGTAGTTCACGGCTGTTCATATGATCACGTCAGCGGACATCTAAGATGGCGTCGGCTTTGAGCATGAGTCATTTGAAAATTCTGCTCGAGATACGCATTTTTCCTAAACTTATCGTAGCAAACGACGATATCTTCGGCTTCCTCCGAGCCTGTTGACCAGTAACTCGCGATTTTCCAGAAGAGAAAGGAAAGACGAATCGTTTGATACCTCGCTCGACGACGAGCGTCGTTTTGGTCCCGATCGTCGAAGAGAATTGGGCCATTTTTTGTTCGTCGTAACTATTGTTGTATGTTATTGTGTAGCCGTATTTCCTGCTCCCAGAGAAGCGTTGCTGGAGTTTTCCCGTGCTTTCAGGAAGTTTTCCTGGTTGGCCCAAGGCTTCGGCCATCCGACAAACATAAATTCGTGAGCGGAAGCTGGTACATTTTTTTGGAAGCTGGTGGAGATGTTCTTGCACTTTGTGTGATTTTTAGGGCTCGATGGATGGTCTTGCATCTGTATGCTGGATCGGTGGCCAGAAATTCGCTGATTAGCCTTCCAGTACTACGTACTTTGCATCTGAGCATGAAAAATGGCCTCAAGGGCATGGGAGTTGATATTTCGGAGGACTTACTTGAACAACATCATGCTACTGCGATCATGATAATTGTGCACAATTGTGTCACATGACAGTCGCACTACTAAGCAGTGATAGCTGTGCCTTGTGTTGAATTGAGTACAAACATTATACATCATGACTAGAAACTACCACGCGATCAAAGGTATGCACAGCACGAGTACGCAGCAGCCGCCGTCCTGGAAGACGCTCGCACCGTGATTTGGTGGTAGCGGCATAGCACAGTAGAATGCATGCAGCATACTCCTGTGTTGAGCCACAACTGACAAACGTTACGTGCCTACAACAAGTCATCTACAACAATGTACATGCCATCAATTATATATTCACAGCGTAACGGCACAACTTCCGAAGGCAGATGTCACAATTGGAAGAGAACATATTTACCAGGCAGACAAACTGGGTGTAACTCCAGTCAGACTGCACCGGCATAAGTCACAGCAAAAGCACACTCATACTATAGTCATAGTCTTGGCTACACACAACACACACACGATCGCATACGTGCGCGCGCACACGCACCCACCCAGACGCACACACAACATGAATACCGATGTGCGGCACTGAAAAATTTACACTGCAATAAGAACAGGAAAATGAGCACATACGTCAGTGGTGTATGACTACCACTCAATAATGGAAAAAAGACACTAGATTTAAAGTTCAGCTGAGGACGGTGTTATGTCCTGGGTCAGACTCTTCGTGGAAACAACCATGCACGGAGATAACAATAACTATGGACTGTCGGGATTAAGTGGAGTGCAGCCATGCTTACACACTGCCACTGTCCAAAGAGGATGATGGATCCATCGCCTGCTGACGTGTCAGATGAGGGCAAACAGTCACACACCTTGCGGACACTCAAGGCTGATCGTCGCTCACAACGATGTGTAGTAGCGTTGTTATCCGGTCCCGAATTCTGCTGGTCGAGATCAGCCATACCGTTGTGCCAGTTTTGCATCTTGACCTGGGGATCCATCCCTGGATCTACGCTGCATCAATGCTGGCAGAGGTCGGCCAGCTCGATAAGCACAACGCCAGCCGCATCCAATGGCAACAGCAACGAGCAGTACACAGCATTGGTCACACTACATGCCAAGCTGCAGCAATGCATAGCCGACGCGGAAGCAGCCTAGCAGAAAGCCCTACGCATTTAAGGCTGGCCCAGCTACTTAGCTCTGCAAGGCCATTAGCAGTGTGAGACCGGCAGCATTTTGGAGGTTGTGCCGGCAACTAAATCCAGCAGGAGTCGCAGGCAGCATTGCATGATCAGACTGACAATTTCGGGCGACAGTTTGTTGCTGAATCTCCTGCTCACTCCCATCATATCACTACAAGGTAGCTCATCCATACTGCTAATACTGTGCGGTGCTCTTACGCCGTTGCGCGGAATAATACTACAGTAATACCAACTGTAAGAAGCCGTGTTGGATCAGTTTTACACTGGTTGCTGTATTCCGAGCTCCAATAGATATTCCTGGGACAAAACCACGGACTAAAAATTCAGTCTTGCACTGTTTCTTCGCTTCCATTGTCTTCTGCAGGTTAATGATGATGGCTTAGCACTGAGCAACATCGAACATTTCATGAGCTCGTTCAAGACGAGATCGTGAAGAGAAACAAATGCCATGTTACCCCTAATCTGCACCTTTTAGAGATGCACGCCGTGCCAGCTGTAACCCGACTCCATGTGGCCTTGGCTTGCTAGTTGAGCAAGGCTCAGAGAGCATCCATGCGGAATTCAACTCCCACTCTTATTAGAGTGAAGCGTTCCTGCGCCCATGAAACGGCTCGAAGCAATCGCAACGCCTATCAAGAACGCTGCCCATGTCCAGGCCACTCCGTGGCCGTAGCTAAGGCATGGAGGAAAACAGCATCCACTATAATCCTTCTCTTTCGGCTAGCTTACTCCATAGTGACTAAGTCCTGCTCTTCTTCGTCCTCCTTCTGCTACAATTTTTATTTTGTTGCTTTGATCTTCGCGTTTGCAATTATTTGGTCAGGTCTAACAAACCCAATTTACATAGGGTTACCTAGTTGATTCTACTTGATTCGAAAAGGATCCACCTGAAAACACACCAAGTTCATAAATCGAACGTGCAATGTGCAAATTTGCGATTTTCCAGTGAATTCGACGCCATTTTGATAGATGGCCGCAGCTGAACAGCCGTGAGTTGTACGCCATGTCACGTCACTGGCGTGAACAGATTGCTTGACGTCATGACGTGACGTGAAAGGTAGCGAGTCGTACGCGCACGCGGACGTGTCTGACACGTGAACCGAAAAGATTTTTTTGGCGGGTAGTCGGCAAAAATTAAGTGACGGTCAGTTAGTCCTTCGCTGGTATGGTGTTAGTGTCTTCCATTGACGCCGATGACGGGTATACAGTAGGGGTGAAACGAAGGTCTCAAATTCCCATTCGAACCTTCTTTATTAAAGCGAACGAAGGTGTCGAAGGATTCTTTTTTAATTATAACATGATCACGGAAACGCTCAAAAATCTTGAAAATATAAAGGGGGCAAAAATCAGATCCCAATACTTACATTGTATGTGCAATTTGTTTCTGATCTGGTGGTATCAATGTATCCATTCCAGGTAAGAAAATACTTTGGCCCAGCTCACAACTATAGATAGAGGCAAGGTTTTAACATACTCTTGATAGAGGCCATACCTAATACCTGTTTGTGAGTCAATTGTCCATATTTCTGACAATTTACATGTAGATCAGTGTACTTGGGATCGTGTACAGACTTGCTAGCCTTGGCCTTTTTGACACAAAGCGACAAGAGATCACTGCTCTAGTGTACAGCCAGTTGCGTGCTTCAACAATACCAAAATGGACGGAAAAGAGCCATATTGCGTAGTAAATATCAGATGCCCAACTTCATCAAAAAATTGTCAAATCTGGACATGTACTTTACTAGTATCTGCTCGCATCGAGCGGGTGCATTGGTGATTGAGAGTAGAGTGAATAGTCACTAGGTGAGGAACTTCACCTGCCTCGAGGATTTCAGGCCATCGCTGCGCTCCCTCTCGCTGCTGCTGGGAGAGTGAATACTGCAATGGCTTCAGCGATGCAAACTTTTATTTTCGATTCAAATTATGAGACTACACTCTTATCGCTGCTACAACGTTCTCCAGACACCATCACTGGCAGATATCAACGGCAGCTACAGCAAGCTATATTCCTGGTACAAGCAGCATAACTGAGCGAAAACACGATCGAAATCGCAAAACTACACTCCTACTAGTATCGCAGAGCGCCAAACACTCGACGAATACAATCAAAAAAGTCATCCATGACTGGTAGATCTACACACCAACGCAAAACGGGAACACACTGGCGCCCACGGCTGT